GGTGCGGTTGGCGCAGGATAGAGCAGGGTTTAGGGCTGTTGTGCACAGGGTCGCTATGAGTCGCAAACGACTTGACGGCACATAACAACGACACACAGGAAAATGACATTTTAGGGTAAAGTAATGGAAGGAGTTAACAAGAGTGAAGATCAAACAATTTATCTAAACTAAAATGCTGTACTTTTAGGTACCAAAATGCCATATAAGAAATTAAAAGGCAAAAGACACTGAGAAAAAGTATTTTTAATATGAGACGGATCAATACCTGATTTTCTTCTAAAATACAAAGATTTCCTTCACCGATGTAAAATACTCCCAGTACATATCGATCTCCTGATACTAAAATGCAATGTCCTTTATTATATTACTTCACTGCTTTACTAAAATACATATCTACTTTTAAATCTAGGCTATATTAAACATGACAACACATCTTTTTGTCCTTTCAATACTCTGACTTATTAGTGGGAATTATCAGTTAAATGGATTGGTTCAAAGCTAGCAGACTACAAGAAAAAAAATGCAAAGTGTTCTTTTCTATCTCTGGGGGGCAGGGAGAAGCCACCCCTATACTGCTGTGGTGAATTCAGTATTTATGTTTTACCTATAGTAAATAACCTACAACTGAAGATGTAAGCATCCTTTTACCCAGTAAGAATGCACGAGTGATGAGAACCCAAGAAAAGAGATACTGTCCTTTCCATGAATTTCTTATTCGCAATGTAGGTTCTCAACAGTCGGTGTATAAAGAATAAGAACTGCATACACCTTTTCTAGCAATTTAACACTTTCAACTTTTAGTATTACATTAACACTATTAAAGGAAAAAAAACCCCAAACCTTCCATTGATTTAATCAAATATATTGAGAAAATATGTTAACAGTTATTACAGAGACAATATAAACTTATTATGTATAAAATGAAATTAAGAGAAATTAGATAAAATAGTCCTGACTCACTTCTCGGTTTAATTTGCATTTTTTGGCAAGTTGATTTCCATTTTCTTATTCAGGAGGCAAACTGGTAAACAGATTGGCTTTGCAAAGGAAGGTTGCAGTCGCATTTTTATACCTAAGTCATCTAGTTATTTGCCAGTGAATAGTCTGAAGTTTCCAAATAAGTACAGATCATCAATAAGTGAAACTTTTAAAAGGTTGAGAGAAGGAGTAGGGGAAGAAAAGTATTTTTAATTTATAGTAGACAAGGAGGATAGAAGGAGAATTGATGCCTTTGAACTGTGGTGCTGGAGAAGAGTATTGAGACTACCATGGACTGCTAGGAAAACAAACAGATTTGTCCTGGAAAGGGTTAAACCGGGTGGCTCCTTGGAGGCAAGGATTCTGAGGCTCCGTTTAACGTACTTTGGACATGTTGTAAGGAGAGACCCGTCCCTGGAGAAGGACATCATGCTTGGGAGGGTGGAGGGACGGCGCAGGAGGGGAAGGCCCTCTATGAGGTGGATTGATTCAGTGATTGGGATGGGAGTGTCAGAGACAGTGCAATTGGCACAGGACAGAGCAGAGTTTAGGGCTGCTGTACACAGGGTCGCTATGAGTCGTAAACGACTCAACGGCACATAACAACAACAATAATAGACTATGTTTTAGAAATGAACGGAGTTTTGTTTTGTTTTTGTAAATCATCCACTTTACCTTTACAATGTATGGAAATCGACTGCAGGTGTTTTAGACCTTTCATAGTGGATCTAAAACACCTATTTTCACTGGGAACTATTTCTACCTGGGAAGTTGAACTGGATGAGAGAGAAATAGGATTCTCTTTGGCCAAGGCCATTTGGGAAGCTTCCGGGCCAGCTCTGTTTACTTTTATCCCCCATCTATGGATTAGATCCTCACCTGGGCAGGCCACCTGTGTGGGCTATGGTGTGGTGGCATCACTCCTGAAAGACTGTCAGCAGCAAGATCTTTTTGTATTGAAAGATATCAAAAGCCAGTCTGATGCAGGGGTCTATCTCTGAGGGGTCTCAATGAAAATCTAATTCTGGTAAGATTATGGGTAAGAATTATTTTTTTTTCCAAAATAAAATTAAAAAGCACTACGTGGTTAAAAAATAAAACAATTCCAAAGTATAAAAAATATATAATATATAAATATATAAAAAATACATAAAAAGTGTAAAAAAAAAAAGGTCACATTTCCCTTAAAAAGCTATGTTGTAAAGTAAACTTGTCAATTAGAGTCAAGATATAGCCCACCAATGTTGGAAAACACCAGAATGAGCACTTAACAAAAGTTATCAGGAAATCACAGGACACAAAACGAGGTAAATCTTAACTCACCACCCGCAAAAACCCAAACCAGAAAATTTGGATAAATAGCCTTTTAACATTAAATAAAAAGACATTTCCTTTTTCTGTTTGAGGAAGAATGTGCATCAGGATTGGAAGAAGATTCATCAACAACCTGTGTTATGCAGATGACACAACCCAGCTTGCTGAAACTGAGGAGGACCTGAAGTGCTTGCTACAGAAGGTCAAGGACATTTTTGAAGCTCAACATCAAGAAAACAAAGATTCTCACCACTGGGCCAATTGGCAGCATCATTATGGATAGTGAAGAGATTGAGAGTGTTACATTTTCATTTACTTGGTTCCACAATCAACAGTCTTAGTACCAGTAGCCAGGAAATCAATAGACGAATTGCACTGGGAAAGTTAGCTGTCAGGGACCTCTCCAGAGTATTGAAGAGCAATGATGTCAGGCTGGAGAC